AAAGTAAAACCAATCTGATGAAGAAATTTTAAAAAAYAAGACGACATATATGTAGATCATTATTTTTAAAATACCACACATTTTAATCTTCTCTTAACTAATATAAAGTCAATTACATGAGCCAGGCAYGGTGGCRCACACCTGTAATCCCTGCAGCTCTGGAAGCTGAGACAGGMGGATTGTGAGTTTGAAGCCAGACTCAGTAATGGGGAGGTGCTAAGCTACTCAGTGAGACTTTGTCTCTAATAAAATACAAAATTTTATTTTGTATTTTTGGGCTGGGGATGTGGCTTAGTAGTTGAGTGCCCGGAATTTAATCCCTGGTATCCCCCCCAACAAATAAATGAAAATAAATTACATAAAATAATAACTGTAAAATTATAGTTTGGGACTTGTGGCATCAAAATATGATACATGTGTACATACACATTCACACAAACACATATGAGAAAAATAGCAAAGAGAATGGGAAGAGGGGATAAAGCTATAGTAGAATGAGGTAGTGATATGAAGCAGTAACTCCAATCTACAAGAAGAAATGAAGAGTGTCAGGAAATAGTAAGTAATTTTAATATAAAAGAATTAATTAAATGTGTCTTACTCCTTTCATCTCTGAACTCCTTTTTCTTTTTTTTTTCTTAGTACCAGGGATTGAATTCAGGGCACTCTTCCACTGAGCCACACACCCCCCCCCCCCCGCCCTATTTTGTAGTTTAGAAACAGGGTCTCACTGAATTGCTTAGTGCCTCACTTTTGCTGAGTCTGGCTTTGACCTCGCAATTCTCCTTCCTCAGCCTCCAGAGCCACTGGGATTACAGGCTACTGCACTCGACCTCAATTCCTTTTTGAAGGCATAAAATTATATAAAGCAATATATAAGTTGCTACATTTTTGGGTGTGTAACATATGGGTGTGATATGTATAACAGTAGCACAAAGGGGAAGAGCAGTAACAAAACCATAAAGAAACAAGATGACTGTGCTTACTGGAATTAAATTAGAATTTATCAAAGAAAAATGTGACAACTTAAGGGGCAGGCTGTAACTTTTAGCAAAACCACCATAAAAGTTAGCCAAACTATAGACAAAAATGAAGAAAATGACATGGAGCTTACTATAAAGTATCTATTTAAAAATCCTAATATTATGTTTAACTCAAAGGAACTAATTTAAAAAAAATTTAAAGATTTGCTAGAAAGCATAAAAAAAAATGAATGAAAGAACACATATGCAAAAAAATATACTTAATATTTCTTTAAATAAAATTTAAAAACAGGCAAAATGATCGATAGCCTGAACACTGTCATAAACAGTATCTGAGCAGAGGAATGAAAGAGTGTAACAGGAGTGGGTTGAACCTTGAAAGTACATGCCCCACCCCCTCTTTTTTTTTTTTTTGATACCAGGTATTGAACAGAGGGGCACTTACCCTCTGAGCCACATCCTCAGCCCCTTTTATTTTTTATTTTGAGACAGGGTCTTGCTAAGTTGCTTAGGGCCTCCCTAAATTGCTGAGACTGGCCTCAAACTTGCACTCCTCTGGCCTCAGCCTCCCAAGTTGCTAAAATTAAGCTGAGGGCCACCACACTCATTAAGCACATGCTGTCTTTAGAGGCAGTGATATAGGATGAGGTTGGATACCCAAGGAATTTTCAGGAAGCAGGTTTATTTAAGCTGCAGTGGTCCAGAGGGACTAATGCCTAAAAGTCTCTGGACCCTGAATCTGGAAATTCTTTGAACTTTTATACTCTTGGGAATTTTCATAATAGTGGGTGGTACTTAAAAGTTACTCTTTTTTTTTTCATATTTTAGGCTAGACAGAGGTTTTACACATTTTTACCAAGAAAACAGAGACAGTATCTTTTGTACAGTAACAAGGTTGATTGCAGACTTAGCTTCTACAGGAAAGAGAAACCTAGCCTTCCAACCATATTGACCTCTCTGCAGAAATCCTGCTAAAATTCTTTGTAAAAATCTTTCAGACAAGAAGAGAAGCTTAATTGTGGGGGTGGGGGTGGGGTCCCTGGAGAAAGTTAATTATTACAATTATGGTTTTGGGGGGGGTACCTGGTCTGCTTCAGCAGCAGAGTCACAGTGGAAATCTGCACATTTGGAAACAGTGTTGTTAGATATTATACTTTTTCCCAAGAGATGTCACAAATCTAAAGTTTTATATAAAAAGAACTGGTTTGTAAATTTTAACTATTACCTTAGTTGTTTGCTAAGAGTGTGAAAACATATATGCATACAAACTCTAGATAACTTGAGGGACACAAATTTGTGACCTCTTTTAAACAATTAGAAGATTAAATCTCTATGGAAAAAAATTCAAAAAACTATTTAATAAAAAAAGAAGCAACAGAAGACAAATATATATATATATATATGACAAACAGCAAACATAAACCCAACAGTTACAGTCAAATGGAAAGCCAAAGGTCCAAGTCTCAGTTCTTGTGTCCCGACAAGAGAAACTTCAGAGACAGATATAAAAAATCAAAAAAGAGAATCTTATTACAAGTGAAAGTAAGGCTCAGGCAAAGAACACACTTGAGAGAGTGAGCTTGAGAGAGTGAGTTGAGTACAAGCAGAGAAAGGAAACATAATGCTACTTCCAAATTTATTACTGTTTGATGTTTTCTAGAACTGGGGTCCACCTTCTGCAGCCTTCACCAATCCAGTGTTTAACTCCTCCTTCACATTGGGCAGGGGAGTTTCTGACCCTAGTTGGTCCTTTCTAAAACTGTCTTGGCAACCCTCCCATTCAGGGGGGTTTCATTCCCCAGGTCAGTCCTATGTTAATGCAGGTGCCAAGGTCCAGGACCAGGCTAACTTCATCTTAGTGTGTCTGGCTAAGCAATATTTCTTCTGAAATATATTGAGGAACCCCTTGGAGCAGACCAGGAACCCCCACTAAATTGACGCCCCTAGGGGCTCGGGATGTGGCTCAAGCGGTAGCGCGCTCGCCGGGCACGCGTGCGGCCCGGGTTCAATCGTCAGTACCACGTACAAACAAAAGATATTGTGTCTGCCAATAACTAAGAAATAAATATTAAAAATTCTCTCTTTCTCTCTCTCTCTCTCTCTCTAAATAAAATTTAAAAAATTAAATAAATTGACCCCCTACCTATATTTGTAACATATAAGCTTCTTCCCCCTCATCACAATTGAGCTTCTCTTCTTGTCAGAAAAATTTTTACTCTGGATATCAGCAAAAACTTCTGCAGAGGGTATTTGGTTTATGGCTTCACCTTTTTTGTAAATACCAGCTTTGCAGGAAAAAAGAAAAAAAAAACACCTTGTGAAACCTCTGTCTAGCCTAAAAAATGAAACAAAAAGTACTTTTCAGGTAAACCTTCAAACCTCTCCTCCTAATGGGTATAAAGTTCAAAGAATTTTCAGACTCATGGTCCAGAGAATTTTAGGCAATAGCCCACTCTGGACTGCTGTAGCTAATAAAGCTGCTTCCTGAAAATTCCTCGCGTGTCCAGCCTCTTCTGTCCTACATCATTCTGACCATTAATTCTAGCTTTACAATGATCTTCAGTTGACCCTATCAGAAGTTAGTCCCATTGATCTTGCCTCCTTATTTCTTAATTATTTATTATTTTCAATGACTATCAGTTATTTCTTAGCTGGCTTTCTTTGTTTCCACATGTTTATTCTCAGGGTTAGTATACCTATTGTTCTCCTACAAGTTACTTGATTATTCATTAGTCTTAAAGGCAATTTAAAGAAACCTGTGAACCAACTACGTTATTGGATTGCATTCCATGGATGGAGTACTATTTCACAAAACAACAATTTGAAAAATAACATTAAACGTGAATGGACTGCACATACTGATCAACAGGCAGAGATTTTATGACTCAATTAATTTTTWAAAAAACTAGATCCTCTGGGCTGGGATTTGGCTCAGAGGTAGAGCGCTCACCTAGCATGTGTGAGGCACTGGGTTCAATCCTCAGCACCACATAAAAATAAAACAAAGGTATTGTGTCCATCTACAACTAAAAAATAAATATTAAAAAGAAAACCAAACTAGATCCTCTGATATGTGGTTGCTAACACATGATAAGGTGAAGAAGGGGAAGAATAGAAGTTCAGTGGATTAGACAAAGGGGAATGAAAAGAAGGAGGGGGCAGAAACAGGAAAGACAGTAGAATGAATCTGACATAACTTTCCTATGTTCATATATGAATACATAACCAGTGAAACTCCACWTCATGTACAACCACAAGAATGGGATCCTAATGAGAATAGGATATACTCCATGTTTGTATTAATATGTCAAAATATACTGTCATGTATAACTAAAAAGAACAAATTAAAAAAACTAGATCCAACTATAGGCTCTCCATAAGAGACACTTCAGATTCATATACAATAGATGAAAGTTTTTWAAAAAATGGAAAAAGATATACCATGTAAATTGTAATCATAAGAAAGCTCAAGTAGCTGGGCATGATGGTAACCGCCTGTAATCCCAGGGGCTTGGAAGGCAGGAGGATTAAGAGTTCAAAGCCAGCCTCAGCAATTTAGCAAGGCCCTAAGCAATTCAGCAAGGCCCTGTCTCTAAATAAAATGTTAAAAAGGCAGGGGATGTGGTTAAAGACCTCTGAGTTCAATCCTGGTACAAAAAAAAAAAAAAAAAAATCTCAAGTAGCTATACTAATATTGGACAAAATAGATTTAAGATGAAAAATGTTACTAGAGAAAATTAGGGACACAGTAATATAATAAAAGGGTCAATTCATCAGGAAGGTAAAATGATTATAAACATATAACTATCTGAAACAAAACGGATAGAATTGAAGGAAGAAATAGTTCAATATTAATAGTTGGACTAAATACCCTAATCTCAATATAGAACACCTAGCTAGAGAATTCTTTTTTTTTTAAAGAGAGAGAGAGAGGAGGGAGAGAGAGAGAGAATTTTTAATATTTATTATTTTTTAGTTTTCAGCAGACACAACATCTTTGTTTGTATGTGGTGCTGAGGATCGAACCCGGGCCACACGCATGCCAGGTGAGCACGCAACCGCTTGAGCCACATCCCCAGCCCTAGAGAATTCTTAAGGGTCATCAAATATGTAGAAGGCTAAATAGTGAAAACTGACTGAACCTGACATCTATAGAACATCTCATCCACCAATAAATAATATATATTCTTGCCGAGCACACCAACACATTCTCTAGGATAGGTCATAACCTCAGAAATGAAGTTTTGAAAGATGTAAAATGTCTGAAATCATACAAAGTGCATTCTCCAACTTCAATGAATTAATAAAAATCAACAATAAAAGAAAATTTTGAAAACCCAGAATTATTTGGAAATTGAATGCCACAGTTCTAAATTATCAACAAGTCAAAAGAGAAAGGGGAAAATGAATATATTTTGAGCTGAGTAAGCAAAAATGATAATATAGGAAAGTATATGGAATATAGCTAGTATCATGCTTCGAGGGATATTCATAACAGTAAATGTCTACATTGGAAAAGTACTATTTAAAATTAATAACCTGGGCCGGGGCTGTAGCTCAGCAGTAGAGACTTTTGACTAGCKTGCGGGAGTTCCTCAGTTCCATCCCTAGCACTGCAAAGTAAAATAAAATGAAAAAAATAAACTTCCACATTCCAAAACTAGAAAAGGATGATCAAGTTAAAACCAAAGCAATAGAAAGAAGGAAGGAGTAAAAATAAGATTGGGAATTAATGAAATAAAAATCAGAAAGACAACGAGGAAGATCAATGAAAGTAACAGTAAGTTCTGGGAAAAGATTAGCAATATTGATTGATAAAGCTTTAGCTAGACTGACCAAAAGAGAAAACACACACACACACACACACACACACACACACACAGCCAAAGTCCCAAAGTCAGGATGGAAAGATCAATAATGTCCTCACTGAAATTTAAAAGATAAGAAAGGGAACACTATGAACAACTATGAACAAAATAAAAAACAAAATAGAGGACATTATCACTGACCTTGCAGAAATGAAGTTTAAGAGAATATTCTGGGGTTGGGGTTGTGACTCAGTGGTAGAGCACTTGCCTAGGCCCTGGGTTCAATCCTCAGTATCACATATAAATAAATAAAATAAAGGTATTGTGTCCGCCTACAACTAAAAAAAAATTTTAAGAGGAGAGAATGTATGAACAACTGTATGCCAACAAATTAGGTAGCTTAGTTGAAAAGATCAAATATCTGGAAAGTCACAAACTGCTGAAATCAACTAAAGAAGAAACAAAATCTTAATAGTCTTTGCTATGGTTTGAGAACTTTTCAACGTGTTCCCCAAAGATTCAAGTTTGGAAGCTTGGTTCTGAGTGTGTAGACATTAAGATGTTGTGGGACCTTTAATAGGTGGGGCCTAGTGGCAGGCTGTTAGAGCCTGGGACCCTGCCTTCCAAAGAGATTAAAGTAGTTATCGGGGACTCTGTGAATTCTAASATGGGGGAGAAAGGGGAAAAGCAAGGCAGGCTGCTCTCTGGATTCCTATCTTAAGGGTTTGAACTCCTGGGCAAGTTGTTTACTACGGAGTTGGCTGCAGTTGGGTGACCAGGGCGGACTTTTTTTTTTTTTTTTCCACTTCACTTTTTTTTTTTCCACTTTTAATTTTTTTTTTTAATATTTATTTTTTAGTTCTCGGCAAACACAACATCTTTGTTGGTATGTGGTGCTGAGGATCGAACCCGGGGCGCACGCCTGCCAGGCGAGCGCGCTACCGCTTGAGCCACATCCCCAGCCCTTTTTTTTTTTTTTTTTCACTTCTTGCAACTACATCCTTCTCGTTCCTCTTTGCAAGAAAAGTGCGGCCGCCTGAAAACAGAGGAGCTAGACGCAGAATATGTTTGTGCTCATATGCTAAAGGTTCATATTCCACAGTAATCAGAGGAGTGCAAATTGCAAATTTAAAATTACTCTGCCCCGGCTGGGATTGTGGCTCAGCGATAGAGCGCTCCCCTAGCACGGGCAGGACCGGAGTTCGATCCTCAGCACTACATAAAATAAAGGCATTGTGTTGTGTCCATCTACACTTAAGAAATAAATATTTTTAAAAAATAAAATAAAATTACTTGGTCAGAGAGAAATGTAAATAATTAGTTGAGAACATTTAATAATCCCGCTCACTTGAGTCCACACACTAAACCGCGCTGAAATCTTCTTGGCCTCCCTAGAGTTGGGAGAAATAATGATCCTAAGCGTTCTTGGTTCTGAGTTTCTGCAGTTGTTGGTTGTGGGTTTTTTGTGGGTTGTGGGTTTTTTGTGGGTGTCCCTTTTTCTTCTCGTACTGGAGTAAATACCAGCCCCACCCCACCCACTGCTTAGCAAGCGCTCTTCCACTGAGGAACACCCCCAGCCCATAATTGAGTTATTTTAATGAAAAGAAAATAATTTTGTGGGTTGCTGAGACTAAGCAAGCACTCTACCAGCTAAGCCCCAGACCGTAACTGAAGACTGTAAAACGAAAGTTGATATGTTCCAATTAAAAGCAGGATATCATCCAAATTCAGAACACCAAAGCAGAATCTTATTTCTGTGTATTTTCAGGCTCCCCCCCCCGTAACGTTTGTTGTTAACCTAGGCATCATTTGATCTTCATGTTTAATATTTTCCCCTCATTAAACATTCATATCTACAATTTTCCAAAAGTCCCTGGTTTTTTCCTAGGTAGGTGTTATGACATTTGCTTTTGGTGAGGAAGAAGCCGTAGCTCAAGGTTTCATCGTTTCTGAAACCACCCTATGTAAACCTCTTCTCTACACACCCCACCCACAGCTTCTATCTGACTGATCCTCTTAACTCTCGTTTCTCTCAGAGCGCCTCCCTCCACTTCGAGCTTATGGCGGAACTGAGTTTCGCAGTGTGGGTCTGGACTCCCGGGTGGCGTGGTCAATCAACAGCACAGCTGAGAAAATGCTATCGACTTTTGTCCTCTTGCATGTGTTCCTGAGCTTCCTGAAGGGCACCCGCGCCCGTGAGTGGAACAGCAGGGGCGACAGGGGCGGCGGGCTGTCAAGAATTGTGGGAGAAACTCAAAGGGGAGWGAGAAAGACCGTAGCCCGAAAACTTCAGGGCATTTTGCAATCCCTGAGTAACTTTCCAAAATCTTAGCGATGGTTGCAGGTCCTTACTCGCCAGCCTACAGCGTCTGGGAAACAAGGGCTCTGGCAAAGCAGGGCGGGCGGTGCAGACTAGTAGGAAGCTGGCGCACCTCTGAATGCTGCACCCTGTGTGCTCAACATTGACGGTTTTGGAGCTTTAAAGCTACGTAGAAGGGCTGGGACTGGGGCTCAGTGGTAGTGCACGTGCCTGGCAC